TGTTTTTCTTCTTTGTTTCTCCTTAACAATTTGAACTCGCCCCTTCCCGATGTATATTGACTTTGAATTCTATTCAACCAGATTGTTGAGTCTATGCTGTCGAACACTGGGCAGTTATACAGACTATTCGATTTGTAAGACAATTAATCTCATTGGTTCAGAGTTGTTTGGACCCCATTACCCAGTCAAAGGTTGGCTCCTGGTTGTATTCATCACCGAGCTGAATGAGTCAGTTGGCAAAAGTAAAACATGTATTCCCTGTCTCCTGCAACACCGTTGTTGTTACTCCATTACTCTTCCCGCCAGACATTTCATGGAGTTCCTTGCTCCTTGCTATACAGGCGAAACTTAGTTTTAAGCAAACACTGTAGTATGTTATTAATCAGTGTTCCTGTCATTTCTCTCTCATTGGTTAGTGATCCCTATACATAATGGAAGATAATTTGGATATAATTTGCTTTCGGCAAACAGTCAACCTATTCCCTTAGAGGTTTCTTTTGGTTTCTCTATGTGGACTTTTATGTGTCTTCCCAAGTTTGGCGCTTTGTTCCTTGAGTCTTGGAGCCCCTGCTTTTCTCTTTGGGCAAATTCATAGCTAATATGTAGCGAAGATGGATGTGTATGGGAAGAATCTTGGACACAAGAAACCGCTTTTGAAGGCCTTTGGTTTCATGAATAATGCCAGTATCTTTTGCTTCAAACCTAGCTCTTTTGGTATTCCCTGACGCAGCCTAAATTTAGTGTGAACATTTAGTTTGTGGATCATGCTTTTGTCCTTTTCAGTCAAGTTTGAATTGAGGATCACCCTCCTCCACCTTAGTTATGAGGCCTTTTTTCTGTATGTTGTTCTTTGTTAATTGTTGAGCTTCTTTGATGGTGCATATCCCTTGGAGTAGATAGTTATCGTCGCCATACCTCGATACTTTAGCTCATTAACTTATGAAAACTGGATATTTAGATTTTGAAAACATAAATGGGCTAACTTCTGAAATTTCCACGTAGTTAGACATTTATGTTCCCCAATCCTGAAAGTATTGCCACTAGAAATTTCTTGAGTGAACATGATGTGTCCAATCTTCACTTACATTTGGAATCAGTTTAGTCTCTATTTGTTGCATGCGAATCAAAAGCGTCATTGATTCTCTGCTCCAAGCTAAACACAGCACCATTTTTCGCCTGAGCTCGTGTTCGATTATTTTCACATCGTTGTCCATACACTCTGGAAATCCTTTTGTATTAAGTTCCTTTTGAGTATTACAAGTACCCCAATTTGAGTACTCTTCTTGTTCGAGATGATAGAACTATATCTGCTCTTGTAGCAACCATGAGTTATAACTAGTGCTCTTGACAAGGCAATGAAATGCTCTTAAGTTTTTGAATTTTGCAATAAAAGCTACATGATTGGCTAATATAAGATTATTGGAGAAGCACCTCTTTCAAGTATTATCCCTCTTGGCATGTACAGCCAGTTAAATGAGCATGACAAATGCATTACCAGATTTTGACACAGCTATTTCTGATGCAAATGCTTCAAATTCTTCATGCAAAAGATACAATGAAATTTGTAATGCTTTCCACATGACCTGGGTATATATTCTTTTTTTCGGCCCTTTCTTTTCAACAAATTAATTAGCTAACAGCTGTGTCTTTAGTTTCCTGTTTATTCTTGCGATGAATGTATCAGTTAAGTTGATTTGTTTTGAAATTCCAGATAGTTAGCAGTTAATCTTTTTATTTCCATCTGTTAACTTAATCTTCTAGCAATTCTTTATTAGATTTTTAATACCTGCTGGTTGTTGGACAAATTGTTGTGACAGGCACTCCTCTTTGGCGAAATGGACCTCCAGAGAAACCAGTGCTCTGCAATGCTTGTGGATCTCGATGGAGAACGAAGGGAACACTTGCAAATTATACCCCTCTTCATGCCAGGGCTGAACCTGATGATTGTGAGGATCACAGGTTTTCCAGGGTGAAGAGCATATCCATAAATAGGAAACAAGAAGTGAAAATACTAAAAAGGAAACCAAATCAAGATTCTTTCGTTGTTGGAAGGCCTTCTGCTGATCACAACCAGGGCTTTCGAAGGGTTGTAGATGAAGATGCAAGCAATAGATCGAGTTCTGGATCAGCCATATCTAACTCTGAGAGCTGTGCACAGTTTTGTAGTGCAGATGCTAGTGATTTGACAGGTAAAATACATGCTGTGTACCCAAAAATTGGCTTTTGGATCTTTTATGTAGTTTAGTGGAACAGCAACATATTCCAATCTTTATACTGAAATTCCATATTGTTATGTTGTTTAAGTTCACAATTCAAATGGTTCGATAGTGTATAATAATCACTGTGGTTTTATTGTCTCGTCCAACATCATAATTTATTGTGGTTTTTA